GGCGAAGGAGGAGCAGGAAGAGCACTCCGAAGAGATGGCAAAGCAGTGCTGCTGCAAAAGGAGCAGCAGCTGGAGCCGAAAGTAGTTGTATTTTATGGCATCCACTGTCTTACACGTTATCCTTTCAAAGCCCTGAACGTTGCCAGCACAGGGTGTGGGTGTGGGAGTGGGTGTGGGAGTGGGTGTGGGAGTGGGAGCTGTGGCAGCAACTAGACAAAAGCAAAACCAAACACAGATTGGACGGAGAGTCTCCAGGTCCCGCAGGTACCCCGGTCCCGCTGCCAAATGGGAAAAGTAAGCTAATTAGTTAATGAAAGATATTCCGCCTTTTGTTCGAGTGCCGCAGCGTCCTGCAGGATGGCCAGGCCACACTGAGCGAAATGCTGAACATAAGAGCGAGCCGAGAGCGTACTGAAAGTCCCAATGCCATTCGCTGTGTGTGTAGGCGGTGGCTGGGGCTGCTGTAATATATGTAAAGTGTAGACCCAGCCCCGGTCCGGCCTGGAGTCTCTGGGCCCCCTATCCCCTTTGCTCGGCCCGCGTCAATTGTGAGCGGGCCTTTGTTTGGCAATTTTACCCCGTTCGCTGCTCATTTTATGTTCTCTTTCTTTCGCGTCGCTCGTTTCTGCCACTTTCTTTGTGCGCTGCTGCATAATTCTGTTCCAGCCGCCTGCCAGAGGGGAAGTCGGAGCCTTCTGCCCCAGTGCGGCACTTTGTTGCTCTTTTTCGGTCCGTGGTCAGCGGCCCATGGAGCTCTGTTCTGCTTTGCACCCTTTTGTGATGCAAAAACGTTTTGCTTGAATAAATCATGAGCTTAAAGCGGCTGGCCGACCTGCCCGAAGGCAGCTTTAAAGTCAGTCAAGTTGACCTTCTGCTCTTGCTGCTCCGTTGTCCAACCTGCAAATGTTCAATAATTGAATATTAAACTTTAAGTCGGAATGGCAGTGGAAAAATGAGTGCCGTTAATTTGTGTTTGCGTGCCGGGTGCTGCTTGTGGCTGTAAGTGGATCGTGTGGATCGTAAGAGCGAGCTAACAGTGCGTTGTCGTAGAGCGCCAACAGCGCTGTAGACGGGCGCGCTAACAGCGCTGTAGACGGACGCGCTAACAGCGCTGTAGACGGGCGCGCTAACAGAGCATCAAACTGGAACGGCAGCGGAAGTGCATTCTGTTCTGGGCTGTTAACAGCTGCTGCCCCGCACAATATGTTTCAGCTTCAGCGCTGAGTGAATCACATTTGTCAATCTTCCAACTGACACTCCTCTTCCTCTCTCTGTCTCTCTCCCTTTATCCATCTCAACGGCCCTTGGCCACTTTGAGGCCTTTTCCCGTACGAATTATAATCCAATAAAGACTTGGTAATCTCTTCCTTTTGGCTGTCGAGTGTTTCGACAGTCTGGCTGTCTGGGCGGTGACTTCCATCAACTGTTGGGTTCTTATTTTTAGTCTGAACCACTCCTTTCCGTCAATTTGGACTCACTTTACTCTCTCTGCAGCAGAAAAGAAATTCATTGGAAAGCAAAGAAAAGAACAGGACATGACAAAAAGTCCACCCAACCCCCAACACAGCGCAGAAAATTGAGCGTGCAATTTGGCTTTTCTTTTCAATAATTTTCCATTAGACAGGCACACAAAAAAAAAGCAGAAAAAGAGAAAGCTGAGCATAAAAGAAAAGAAATAACGGCCAGGGGAGGAGTAGGAGCAGGCAAAACCCAATGCGTTGGCATAAAAAAACACACAAGAGAAAATATTAAAAAAGGGGCAACCATTGGCCAGGCTGTGTAAATGATGATAATAGGAATGGGAGGGAGGGGCTGCAGATGACTTGCACACACACACACACACACACACATACACCTCTGCAAATATCCACTGGATATGCCAGATATATCCGAGGAGTAGGTATAAATATAGCAACGATGCGAACGACATGGCACAGTGGAAGTGGAAGTCCCTGTGGCTCTGGCTCTCCCTGTAGCTGTGGACAACGACAACGACAACGACAACGACAACGACGACACTTCTGGTTCATTGAAGCATAAGAAATTCTCGAATGAATCGCTCTGTTGACGCTTGAGTAGACTTGAAGCGATAAGCGGTTCTTGTCCCATATACAAAAATATATCTAGTCGCGCTTCCCCTTTTGTCAACCTGCCCAACCCCAAAGCCAGCGCTTAAAGCTGGCAACCACAGGAAATCAGTCAGCAGAATCCTGAAACCGAATACCAAACAAATTGATCGGCAAGCGGCCAGCATGTGGCAGGATCCTCCACATGCTCCACACAAGGTGCACAATAAATGATCATAAATAAATGGCATTCGTTGGGCACAACTTACACTCTGTTTTCTCTGCTCGTAGTTGCTTCAGAATATAGTTTGGCAGCCAGTCAACGCTGCGTATACGTGACATTACTCATGCGCCCTGCTGTCACAGCCTTAGCTCTGGTCCTACCTCCCCCCAATCGTTCGCCCATTCCTCTGAGTCTGGCTCTGAGACTGGCACTAATGGAATTAATCAAATGTCATGCTGATGTCGCACAACTGTCGCAAAAACTTGCCATGAAGCGGTGGCTGTGGCTGCCTCTGCCCCTCCGAGTGTGACTGGGACTGTGTCTCCTGCGTGTTCGTTGAGAGTGGTGTCAAATGTTTAAAGTTTCGGACAGTGTAGCCGCCGCATAGCTAGTTAACAAGCACTTGCCGCGGGCAGAGCGAGTGGGGGGTTAGCCATGAAATGCTGTTATCCTGGGCAGGCGGCAGCATCTGTTCCAGGCCGCAGGCAGGCAGAACACATGGGACACATGGATAGGTTTTTGGTGTCGTGATTCCTTCCGCCCTCGGGGGCAACATGCTTCCCGTGTCCCCTGTCTTCCGCTTGCAGAATGTGAAACCAATTTGCTTATCTCTCGGCAGCACTCCACACTGGGGTCACAGTTCTGAGCGCTGGCCACGTGATCGGATGTCCCGGACTGCAATTGTGCCCATCGGAAGCGGCGCCCCTTGACCTGACCTACGTGTCGACTCCCCAACCAATGCGCAAAAACTTTCACAGAGCAAAAATTACAAAAATAATTGTGAATAAAATGAGCGAACCGGAAGGAAGGAAAGTTTCTCCTGCAGCCACTCCAATTCGAATCTCAATCCCAGCCACAACCCCAGCCCCATGTGCGTTGACCTTGCCACCCCGGCTGGGGCACGACAGCAAAAATGGTTGCTGACAAACTTTCGCTTCACTTTGCTACCGCACACCGCAGGACCTCGCCCTCGCCCTCGCCCTCGCCCTTGTCGACTGTCGACTGTCGCACGCGAGCGACTCGACGATGGCGTTGGAAATAATTACACTTGCTGATTTATTGAGTGCCATGCGGTGCTCTGCAGGAGTGCGGAAGGGCGCTGGGGGGTAGAGGAGATGCCTTCCCATTGTCCGGACGTTGTTAATGAGCCACGACATTGGTTTGGATTGCTCTCGGATTGGATTGCAGCCACAGCCGCAGCCGCAGCCGCAGCAGCGACCACATCATATATTAAACGCTTCAAGGTTGAGTGGGGTCAAGTGATTAGGCAATGTGCCCCACCCCACGTGCCACCAAAAATTGACATGAAAATGCATTCATCAATGTCCTTTCCCTCCAAGCAACTTCCATCTCAGCACAAGTAAACTCAAGGAAGAACTGAGGAGCGCCAAGGAGAGGGAACTCAACTCTGATTCCGCTTTATGGATTGCGTGTTGGTTGGGCTCAGGCGAAAGTGAGATTAATTACTCGACTTGGAGTTGAGTGCCAAGTGGTGGAGGTTCGGTTAGTTCCTCTCTTTCGCCAGGAGAGTGGGGGACTCTGCAGCATTGCGACACTTCCTTTGCCTTGGTCTTGGTTGTGTGCCAACAATTTGATTAGTGCGCGAGAATCCCTAGGATGCAGATTGGGAACAGCTCACGGAATGAGCGTGGTTAGACGTAGATTCGGTTTAATTTTGACCCATTGAAAGTTGAGTGCCGCTCACAAAAGCCACTGGGCAGCATCTGCCTTCGCTTACCTCAGGTTGTTCGAGCCCATGCCCCTCCCCTCCTTGCCGGCACTTTAGTCTCATTAGGCAGCAACGAGCCATCTTTTAATTATGGGGCCGGCTTTAATCAGCGTCAATTGGCAAATACAAAAGCGGAAATTTGAAAACGTGCAAAAAGGCAAAGAGAGAGCAGCAAATCAGAGACAGCAGAGAGTGAGAGAGAGAGAGTGGTAAGAAGAGAGCACAGGGGAGAGAGGGAGAGAGTAAGCAACAGGGAGATGGAGCAGCAACGGCAAGGCGAGAGACACACACAAAAACCTTTTGCTAATTTAATTAAGTTACACCATTTGCGCGCCAGTCGCCTTTTTGTCGAATAATTGGCAATAAATTGATTAAAGAGTTAATTAAACATGCGGCAGTAGAACAGTGGAGGGCGTGGCAAATGGCACGGGACTGGGGGTGGGTAATTGCATTTGGCACTAGGAGCAACAAACTACACGGTTGTGCGGGGTGCGGTGGGGAATTATTTGCTGTGCAGAGAGTGAACAGAGGGGAGAGGCTCTCCCATAAATGGCTGATCATCAAATATATGCAGTAAAGCAAGCAAGCAAGAGCGAAGAACCCGCAGCATATGCCAGCATATGCTCTCGCTCTTTCTTCCTCTTTCTCTCTCTCTCTCTGTGTATAGAAAAAGATCACGAGCAGCGCAGTCGGCGCAAGCACAGCGCAAAAGCTTCGTTTGACTTCGGTCTGTGCAGAGAGAGCCGCCGCAGCGGCAGAGAAGCAAGAAACGTTTTCGGGCTTTGTGTCTTTGTTGTTGTCTGCGCATGCAAAAGCACCGTTAGATGCAAGTGTCTACCTGCTGATCCCAAATTTAGCGCTGGACCTGATTAAAAGCTGGACCAAAACCAAAGCAAGGCATTTAGTTATTTAAATAATTCGACTATACAACACAATTCTCATCTTTTGCTCTTTCTCTTTCTCTCTCTTTCGCTCTTTCCAGTTAAAGTGAAAATGCCGCTGGCGTTGCAGTTGCAGCTTGTGGCTCTAGCCACGCCTCCGCCCCACTAAAGGTCTCGGGTCCCTGACAGGCAGTCAGTGGCGGAGGCGTAAAGAGGCAAACGTGACAAAAATGGCCGCTAGCCGAGTCAATGCAACGGCAACAACAGCAACAACCACAACGGGCACCGGGAGAGCGTTGATGAACCATCTGCTGAACCGTTCGGCGGATGGGAACCGCAGCGATGTAGGACTGGGGGAGGGTGCCGTCGGGAACGGAGCCATCCCGACGTCAACGGCTGGTTACCAACTGCCGCTGTATGAGGACGAGACGCAAACGGCAGCGGAGGCAGAGGCAGAGGCAGATGCAGATGCCGGCTACGCCCTAATCGACGACATCAGCGACTGGCTGCTGAGCTCCTCGGCCAGTGCCGAGAATGCCACTGCAACCGCAACGTCCATGTCCATTTCCACGACAGCGAAATTGGGTTTGGGCACGGACACAGCCACCTCGAGCACCAACGATACCCTGGGTTGGCTGAGCCTCGATCTGGGCGAGACGCTGAATGGCACACTGCCCGGTCGGGCCAACTCCAGCTTGGTGGACGCGGCGGAGGCGGAGACGGAGGCGGAGGCGCCCGGTGACGGCCTCTATGCGCTGCGCAACTTTGTGGAACAGCAGCTGGGTGGCGTCGGGGAGGCCGGCACGGGGGCCGGGGAGGAAGCACTGGACATTGCACTGATCGACAGCGGGGAGGAGGCGGCCCTGGACAATGTGGCCGATGCCGAAACGGATTATGGTCTGTTGGGCGGCTTCGGGGATGTCGAGCTGCTGCAGCGAACGGCCACATTGGCCAAGGCGACGCTGAGGAATCGCACGAACGGTGGAGGAGGAGCAGTGGCAACAGCAGGAGGTGGAGGTGGAGGTGGTGGTGGTGGCAGCTCGTTCATGCTGCTCCTGGAGAACTTTAACGACTATTTCCCCAACTACAATGGCAGCACGGTTTCGGGCACAACAATAACATCCGCAGTTGCCGCAGCAACAACAACACCCAGCAGCAGCGGCAGCGGCAGCGGTGCCGGCAGCATCCTGCTCGAACAGAATCTCACCGGGCTGTTCCTGGACACCTACCGGCTGAACTGCAGCAACGAGACAACGCTGAATCTCACCTCTGGCGAGTCCTGCGGCGAGCTGAGAATTGGTGAGTCGAAACACACAGCTCAGAGCAGCGGGGAAAGTCCCTCAACTAATTCCCATTTGCTGTCCTCTTTGCAGTGGACCACAACTATTGGGCGCTCATCTTGATACTGTTTCCCATCCTGACCCTCTTCGGCAACATCCTGGTCATCCTGTCCGTCTGCCGCGAGCGCTCGCTGCAAACAGTCACGAATTATTTTATAGTTTCTCTGGCCATTGCCGATCTGCTGGTCGCCGTGGTTGTGATGCCATTTGCCGTTTACTTTCTGGTAAGTCAACAGTCTCCCCCCCCCCCCCCCAGCGAAATCAAAATGCAAAATTGCCAGCCATTTGCGCTTCATTTGATCGAGTGTTGGCTCGTATAATAAATAAACAGGCTCATAAATAACCGAGCAGGAGCTGGAGGCCAGAGTCAGGAGAGGCCGGACATGAGTCCTGTTAGGCGCTGCCCGCGGCGGGGGGCGGAGGGGGGTGCGGGGGCGTGGCTTTTTACTAAATTGGCGGCCATTCAAGCAATAACATTCAATTTTTGGGCGCTGCCTGCATATAAATCAATGTGAGAGTCCAAGGGAGGGCATCGTATGGGCAAGGAAAGTCCAAGTCCTGTGGGGGGGGGGGGGATGGCATTCTTGAGCAGCCACTGGACCCACTGTATGTCTGTCATTCTCTATGATCCCAGCATTGCAGCAGCATTGCCTGATGGCCGCCTTAATTGGTTGCAAGTTGCTGCTGCTGCCACAATTAATTGTGTGTGTTTATTTATAACAATTTTGCAATTGCAAGTGCAAGCGACAGCAGCGGACAGACGCAATTAAAACGCTCGAAAGTCAAGTGAAATTAACAAACTGCCAGAGACAGGCGCTGCGATGAGGACAGCACTGCGCAGTGTCTCCTGTCACTGTGTAATTTGGCAATAACAAATGTGGCAACTTGTCAGTGGAAGCAGCAGCAGCAACTCGTTTCTTATATACTTATATGAGCGAGGAGGCGACAGGACTCTGAGCTGAAATTGGAGCTGCAGCTTGCCTCCTTTCAACGGTTTGTGGTTGCGGCTGAGCAACTGCCTGTTGCGGCGCCTCTTGTTGACCTTCTAAATGGCAGGCAAGCACATGGCTGGAGAGCTATTCAAATGACACACACACACACACACACACACACACACACACATGAGTATGATAAGCGAGGGGGAGAGCAAATTAACTTGTCATTAAAAGCATCAAATGCGAGCTGCTCCACGTGCAGGCAACGGCCACCCCGCTCTTGCATGCCTGTGCCAGTGTCAGGTGTTAATTACACACACACACATGCAGCACACACACACACATGCAGCACACACACACACACATGCAGCACACTCTTGAGCCAGGCAACGCTTGTCAGCTGCAGCATTGGCTGTGTGGAAATCATTTGAGGACTGAACTGAAACTCTCTAGAAAGGCAGCGAAAGCAGAGCAAAATCCCCAAAAGATTCCTTAGCTTGCGGCCGAAAGTCTGTTGGCATTTTGCCAGGCACAAAGGCAGCAGAGGAAACGCACACGGAAACAGCTGTAGGTACAGCCACAGACATAGCTATAGACACAAATGAAAATTGATTTAGTTAAGAGGATTTGCGGCAACAACAGCACAACAATGCGAGCAAGTGGGGGGGGGGCACACTGGCAGACTGGCAGACTGGCTGGGGCAGGGCTAAGACCAAAAGGTGAGGAGCATTGGCAGGACTCTCCGCTCCCCAGCACTTAACGCATAAAAATGTGCGCAGAACAGCCTCCCAGCTGCCACAGCAGCGAGCCCTGGCCAACAATGGCAAAATGATTGCTTATGACACAGGCGCGCAATGGGCGTGGCATGCCACATACGCGACATACATGCTACTCATACGCAGTGTGGTACACAAAGTCCCGGAGGGACAAGTCAAAGTAGCTCAGCATCATTCGTGTTCATTGCTCTAATCTCATCAAGACTGCGGGAAGCGGGCGCGGGAGTGTGGCAGACACAGAAGCTCCAACTGTGGCAGTTGCATATGAAAAGTTATTTTTGATCTTCGAGCGAGTTAAGCGAGGCACTCAGGCACACCCTTTTGCCATTAAAACTTGTCATCAATTCAATGCCAAAAAATAAATATAAATAATATGATTAATACACACACACACACACACACACACACACACACACACTCGCAGTTTGTGGACAAAAAAGAAAGAAAGAAAAAAAAAACACTCACAAACACCCGCATGAAGCACTTGAATTTTGCTGGCGCTGAAAATGGGAAACTGTCAATGGGAGGAAAGCTGCCCCAACTGCCACTGGCAGTCCCCTTTTTATGCTGGAAATACGCAAAGGATATGAGCCAGCGATAACGGTACTTAATCAGCATTTGAAGCAGAGCAAAAAACGAACCAAAAATAACGATAGAAAATGGGCCAAGGGACAGGGGACAGGGGACAAGGGACAGCCAGCGACGCCCAACTGAAAATAATCATATTTTGCGTGTTGGCTGCCAGTGACAGGCCACCGCTCAGGAGGCCCCACTGTACCACTTTTATCATGCACGATTTTGATGATTGGCGCTTGGGTGTACGAGCTACGAGCTACGATAATCGGGGAGGAGCAGCAGCTCGAGTGCTCTGTGCTGTGTGCTGGAAGGTGTCAGAAAACTGAATGGCAAAAGCATTTCATTTATCACTCTGCAGCTGCAAAACAACTGCAAAACAAGTGGGGCACAAGCTGCAGGAGCAGGAGCAGGAGCAGAGTTGCACCTTCAGGTCTTAGGTGGCTGCCAAACTACACAAAAACTGTTGCCATGTGGCAGGCAATAAAAAGAGTTTTTGCCAGCAGCAGGCACGGCATAAGAGGGCTCAGGACTCAGGACTCAGCACTGAGGATGGAGGAAGGACCTGCTGCTGATGATGCTAAATGCCCCGCAGGGCTACAAAAACCCAAACCGAGTGGCGGGGCGTAAAGTTTTTTAATTTTAATGGCCATTTAAAAGGTTTGCGCAGGCAAATGCCTCCGCTTAAGTGCTGCTTGGGCGTGGCTTCAAAGGCTGGACTGTGTCCTCGATGCTGCTGCTGCTGATCGCCATTTCTGGGAGCCAACTCAGCAAAACGCTTGCAAGGGGTGTGGCAGCCTGCGTGCAGAATTCGTTCAAGCGAACTCTTGGGCCGAGTGCTTGGAGGTCCGTTACTCTGGTACTACAGTCGCAGCTCTCTCTCTCTCTCTCTGTGTGTGTGTGCTGTGCATAAATCCCTGTCAGGGCTGAGAACCGCAGGCCGCACATCAATTCAAATAAATAATCCAACAGCATGAAATTGGCCAACAAAAAGTTTTCAGCTGCCAGAGGGTTAAGGGTGCGGCTTGCAGAGGGTTAAGGGGCATACTTGGGTTTAAGGGCTAAATGGCTGCTATCAAAAATATTGCACCCCCCCCTGGTCCAGGCCAGCTGCCAGCTGCCATCTCAATCTCATCTCCGGCACGCATGCGAGCTCCAAGCGCGCACTTCCGCAGTATTTTTTTTTTTTTCGGGGTTTACCAACACTCCCACACGGTACACACATACAAAGAGACAAAGGCAGTGGCAGAGGCTGTAAATGTATTAGAAAATAAAATTTCCCTTGACGCTAATGGCAACTAATTTGCTGAAGGCAACGAGCAAAATCAGAGCAGCCCTTGGGTACATACATATAAGATATGTATACATAAATTTGTACATAAGGCAGCGTCCGAGCGCCATTCAAAATGGCGCAGGAAAACGCTAAAATTGTTACGACAAACAGGCGACAGGCGACAGGCGCAGGAGCCCGGGCAGACAATAAACTTAATAAATAAGTCAATTAATTTGCCTCTGCGCAGGCATCAGGGGAGCAGCAGCAACAGGAGCAGCATCAAGTGGCAGTCACTTGGTGTGGCTGTGTGGCAGTTCAATTAACTTTGTCTGTGCTAAGAAAATGTATGCGAAACTCGTTTAATGGTCGCTGCCTGTTGTTGGCTTTGACTCGATGGCAGCAGCCAAGGTAACGTTAACTTTATTACTGCACTGAGCGAAATTTGCTGCAACCAAGTGATGCAGCAATCCCCAACGCTCCAGTGGGGCAGTGTCCTGTAACTGCAAATTGAAATTGAAGCATTAAGCCATTAAGTGCTGGCCTTATCCGCTTGGAGCAGTGGAGTGCCCGAGTGCAGCATTTGGCAGCATAAACAAATTATTTGCCTGCTGAGTAAACTTTTTTACGACAGCCATAAAAGTAGGCAAGCAAGACACATGGACACGTGGACACATGCATCATAAAGGCCCAGACTGGGAGTATAATCAGCTGGGGATGGCTCCACATTTATGCAGCTGCTGTGACATTTTTATGCTAAGCAGTCGCCAAATTATGAAAATTCGCCATGAAAACGGCAGACAGTAGATGCAGCGCCAGGAGCTGCCAGAAGCTGCTGCGAGGAGTTAGGAGTTAGGCTGCAAAATGGAGCAAAAGCGCAGCACAAAGAATGAATGCTGCCAGCACGTCCCAGAGATGGGCAGCGGCTGGAGGAAGTGTCCAACCCAAATCAGGTGGGGGGGCATTGATAACTATTTTCTGCACCGCATAATGTGCACAATTTGTTACGCATGCTCCACTGGCTACCCCCCTGCGGTTGCCCACTGAAGTATCAAAAATCTGTTTGAAGTTAAAGGTTCAGCGTGCGGCAAAAGTTCGTGAAGGAGCGGGGAACGGGGAACGGACAGCCGAAAAGGGTTTTTGGCCAGGGGTTGCTTTGGGGCAGAATTACCCTCTCGCTGGTTCTACTTTTGGTTTTATAATTAATTTGAAAAAGCTTTTAATGGCTGGCACGCGTTTTGGCCTAGGCCAAGCCAAAAACAGTCACAGTCCCAGAACCCTTCAGGGCTGAAGGGCAGCGAGGACAACTCAAGTGCTCCTAATTGACTTGCCAATGTGTGGGGAGCACAGCCCAACACACGACCAAAATATGCCACAAAAATCAACAAAAAGATGAGAGATCCACACCTACATGTAAAACGTTTGCCAAGTAACTAAACCACGCCCGAGGCTGTCAAAGTTTTAATGGCCAAAGCGGAAAGAAGCCGAGAAGCGGCTAGAGAGCTGAAGCTACAGTGATTGAGGAGGTGCGTTGGGGGGGTTGGGTTGGGTTGGGTTGGGACACGTGCCTGTGCCGGCGAAGTGCATAAAATGGAAAACACACGCAAGTGCTGGGCAGGAGCCAGGGTCAAGGCTCTGGCGACGGCTGCAAAGTAATTCGTTTCCGCTTCCGCTTCATTACATCCGCCGTCTCGCACTCGGAAAGCACTCAGGGGCGGAGCAGCCCGCCCAGCCCAGCCGCCCAAATAAAAGTCAAAGAAATAAAATGAAATAAAATGCGCAATTGACAGGCGTAAAGGGAAACAGCTACAGATACAGATACAATTTGCAAGCTACAGGCAGGCAAATAGAGCGAGAGGTTAAATAAATAAACAGCCACTGAGCGAGAGAGGAGCCATCCGCAATGACGGCTAATTAACGGCTAGCAGTGGGGCAGCCTGCGACTTGGAACTTGTTGAATGGAAGTATAATTAAACAAAAGCCAGTTGCAGCTCAAGCTTAGCAATTGAAGAACTTTAAGGGCTTCACGTGGGAAGTTGCATGCCACGAAGCAAGCAGCGCGCAGCTTTGTCGCTCCATTTGCCAGCGGCCTTCGATGGAAGAATTTAATTAAAAGCAGTTCCACTTACTTGCCAAAGAGAACCCAGGGCAAAATGCGAGCAAATTGCTAGATTTATTTGTGCAGGAAAGCAAACAGTGTTGGATTACAGCCTGCAGAAGAAGAACCAATTATTTGAGTGTTCGCAGTGCAGCAGCAAAGCGGAAACTGAAACTGAAACGGAGACAGAAACAGAAACAGAAACTAAATTCAGTGCTGCGAAAACCAATTAGAAGCGAGAAAGCTTAGCCTCTGCTGCGAATATTCTCTTACAAGCGGCCAACCAGTGTTGAGCAGCGGCCATCAATGTTGTATCTTTAGGCTCTCTGTGCGGCCAACAGATACATTTATGTAACCCACAAAAAGCGAAGGGTCTGGCTGCCGACTTTAAATGCCTTTCCTACATCAATTGAGCATTGAGAAACGAAAAAAGCAAATTGGAAATTGGAAAACGCTTACACAATGCTCGGAGCAGGGCAGGGCACACTGATGCCTGGAGAAAGAGTGAATCCAAAGCAATTCGCAGGCAAAACTTGCCATGATTAAGCCATAAATAAAGGCGACAAATGCTACTCTCTCTCTCTCTCTCTCTTTGGATCCACAAACCTAAGGCATGGATGTATTTATGGACTGGAGCCTGGAGCCGGTATATTTATTTTTGGGAGCACATTTAGTTGTCGCTTAATCGATTTGCGGAAAACTTTTGGCGCCAGCAAATGAAGGAGAAAATAAAGCAGGGAAAAATGTAAAGAAAAGCAGCAAAGACGCGCACACACACACACAGACATTCACACAGACAGAGAGAGAATACCCAAAAATCCATTATAAATTATAGTTCAGCTGCAGGCAAGCTCTAGCCGTTGTGCGCCGCTGCGTATACGCAATGTGCCTGACAATGCCCGACGTGTGTGTGTGCGTATCTGTGTCAGTATCTACACCAACATGTGTGTGCGTGTGTGCGTGTGTGCGTGTGTTCTCCTGTCAGGCAAACAACTCGGCGACTTGCTACGATGGCGGATGGGACCGAGCCTTGTGCTATTTCTGCACATTGTCTGCACATTTCTATGCTGCTTTCGCCTGACTCTCACTTTCCGATGAGTTTTACAAATATTTTGAAAGGGAAGGGGAAGGGCGACCGAGAAGCGTATCACTGCGCAAGGTAAAGGTTGTGGCTTGAGTTTTTTCAGCTGGCGATTGACTTTGTTTGCCTCCCCAGCCATCCTTTTGTGTTTGCTTTTTGTTGTGTGCCTGGGAAATTCTTCGAGTTATTGTTAAGGCTTTTATGGCTGCTGCCCTGGCCCGTAGATGCCCACGGAGCGATAGACTCGAAAACTAATTTCAGCCCCAAAATGAGAAAAGAGGAGCAGAGCTCCTCCGCAACACTGTCCACTGGCCAAGTTCCTGCTGTTCCTGTGGACTCAACGTTTGCCCTTCTTGCAGGTAAATGGTGCCTGGGCATTGCCTGACGTTGTTTGTGATTTCTATATAGCCATGGATGTGATATGCTCTACTTCATCGATATTCAACTTAGTTGCCATCTCCATAGACAGGTGAGACGGGGCCAGTCGTGGGCCATCACACCTTTTGACCAACTAATCCGTGTCCTTTGCCGAGTTGCAGATACATCGCTGTGACGCAGCCAATAAAGTACGCCAAGCACAAAAACAGTCGCCGCGTTTGCCTTACGATACTGCTGGTCTGGGCAATATCGGCTGCCATCGGCTCGCCGATAGTTCTGGGCCTGAACAACACGCCCAACCGCGAGCCGGATGTGTGCGCCTTCTACAACGCTGACTTCATACTCTACTCATCGCTGAGCAGCTTCTACATACCCTGCATCATTATGGTGTTCCTCTACTGGAACATTTTCAAGGTATTCTATTGAGGGCAGAAACAAAGCATTGATTCCCCTCATTTGTTGGCCAATCAAAATAGGATTTGCGGCTCGGAATACTCATGAATGAGTGCCTGCAGCCTGCAGTCCCGATTAGTTGAACCCACTAACCCACTCTCCCTCTTGTAGGCACTTCGTAGTCGTGCCAGAAAGCAGCGGGCGGCCCGTAAGCCTCATCTGTCGGAGCTAACCGGCGGCAGCGTCATCGAGAACATTGCCCAGACACGGCGGCTGGCGGAGACGGCACTCGACAGCAGTCGCCATGCCAGCAGGATCATGCCGGACGAGCCGGCCACGAACACGGCCAGTGGCTCCAATGAGGAGGAGGACGAGAACGCCATCTCGCCGGACATCGATGACTGTCATGTGATTGTGAACGACAAGTCCACCGAGTTTATGCTGGCCACCGTCGTCGAGGAGACGGGCAAGTGAGTAACCCCAAAGGCCCCCAAAGGCAGAAGCAATGCCAATGCCAATGCCAATGCCAGTCCAAAAATGCATCTGGAACTCTGTTAGAGTTCGTGCCACTTCGATGTGCCACTTCCGTTTCAATCTCCAGCCTGTGCCTGAGCGTTAAACACAGTCAATTAGCATCCTGATGGCCTGCCTTAATCCAATAAGGAGATGAAATGAAACCATTAATGACCCCGCGGGGGTTGCACTTACAAAAAAAAAACAACGAACAAGCACGAAGGCGCTGGCCAAAGGAGATGTGAAAAATAAATCTGAATAATTCAATTAATGCTTCACTTAATTAAAACTCAATTTATGCCCTGCCCCGCCCTGCCCCGCCTTTGCCTTTGCCTTTAATTGACGTTGCGCCACCCAATTTTCATCTTCTCGTTCTCCCATCGACATCATCGCCTGCCTGCTGCCTGCCTGCCTCTCTGTGGCATCGATTGATTGATTGTCCTGGTCGGATTGCATTCGTTGGAAACTTTTGAATGGAAATCTCCGCTTTGGCGTTTGTGTGGCAGCAGCGTTGTGGCTCAGATCAGCACACAGCCACAGCTGGTGGTTGCCGATCCGAATGGTAATCATGATTCTGGTTATGCAGCCTCAAACGTTGACGATGTCCTTGCAGGCGTGGGCGTGGCCACGGGCACCGGCACCGGCACCGGCACAGGCACCGGCAGCATCGCCGGCGTCACCGCAGCGGTAAGCAGCGCCACGCCCCCAGACAGCCCCCTGCCCAGCGGAGCGACACTGCAGCGCTCGAGTGTCAGCAGCAGGCGCAACACCGCCGAGGATTCACCGAAGCGCGGCGAGCCCTCACTCAGGTCAGTGGCAGTCGATCACAGCAGGTACTTTGATACTCGTCAAATTTCGCCTCACTTAAGAGCCCAGCCGAACCGCAGCCCGTAGACCGTAGCCCTTTTTGTTTTCTCCCCAACACTCTCCAACACTCTCTTCTCCACTTTACAACACTTTGCAAGCATTGCCTGACGTTTGCCGTTGTTTTGCAGCGTCGCCATGAAGCCATTGTCCTTTGTCCGCTATGGTGTGCAGGAGGCCATGACTTTGGCACGCAACGACTCAACGCTGTCGACCACATCGAAAACGTCCTCGCGCAAGGATAAGAAAAACTCGCAGGCGTCAAGGTGAGTAACGGCCCGTCCGTTCGTCCGTCCGTCCGTTCGTCCGTCCGTTCGTACCTAATTACTGTTATTAGTTCAGCTTTAAGTGTTGGTAATGGTCAAGACCCCCCGCCACTCAGTGGCCTAACCACTTTCACCTTCTACATTTGCTACGTTCTTCTTTGTACCTCTTCCTCGAATGCAACTTACCATGAGGCCGCTCATTATCCGTGCCACTTGCGTGCCATGGAGTGTAGATTCACGATATACAAGGTGCACAAGGCCTCGAAAAAGAAACGTGAGAAATCGTCGGCCAAAAAGGAACGCAAGGCCACAAAAACATTGGCCATCGTTTTGGGTAAGTTCAAAAATGGCTAACAAGTGGAAGGCCACAATGCCAGCCAACTGCTATATTTGTGTGCTTTTCCCTCTCCGCTCTCCGCTTACTCCTGGGGACCATCTCAGGTGTGTTCCTGTTCTGCTGGCTGCCATTCTTCACGTGCAACATCATGGACGCCATGTGCGCCAAATTCAATAAAGACTGCCGACCGGGCCTCACAGCCTACATGATGACCACCTGGCTGGGCTACATCAACAGCTTCGTCAATCCGGTGATCTATACGATATTCAATCCAGAGTTTCGCAAGGCCTTCAAGAAGATCATGCATATGGGATGATTGAAAACGGCGAGCAGGACACGAGCAGCAGCGCCAAACACAACAGCAACAAAATTAGCAATACAAAGAAAGCGGAAACAGGACTAAGCGGAACAGCGGAAACAGGAAACAAAATGAAGCGGAACTGAACAAGAACCGCACTGTAATCGAAGGTGTAGCCAGGTGTAAGTAGTAGTTGTTGTGGGGAATGGAGTGCCAAATGTAAGCAATGGATCGATACACGCCACTCAATTAGGCAATGCACGAGTCTCGTGTACATGGAACTGTACATAAAAGTATGCAACTTAGGCATAAGTACAGACACACATAAGCGCCACACGAATACTGGAGTCGTTTGAGAGCATTACGAGCTGTAGGCTAGGTACAATTTTAAGTAAGAAAACAATTAGGTTTAGCAAACACCCAAAGGATTTCCCCTCTCACACAGTAGCCCACTAAGTTACGCACAAACGTTCGGCTTAGAGTGGACCCGAAAATTCGCTTTTATGTGCTTTTTTGTACGCCAATTCCTATCGATACCTAATCACATATCACGAGCCGCAGCGCGAGCTGCTCGTTTAGCCGCCCCAAACCCCTTCCAGGCCCCCCCTCCCCCCACCCACCAGCCCAAGTTGAGTAGTTAAGAAAATGTAGAGAAGAAATTCCATATCGTTAAAGGCAAGCGCGTTTCGATTAATCGATACTTGGTATCGATACATTTAGGATAAGGGCAAGCAGTATAAGGCAGTTTAGGTTTAAGTGGCAAGCAGGGCCTTGAGATCAGCGGCCCCACGCACAGACACACACACAACCCACACACGCGAATGAAGCAGGTCAAGGCCCGATAGCTGCCGTAAGTTATCGATAAGCCATCGACTGGGTTTTGGGTGGTCAAGCATGGTGACGGTAACTCAAATTATATCTATATATCACATATACTTTCTGTCCAGTCTATCGGTAAGTTTGATCGATCTCTTGATCGATAAATGCATCGATAGTATTCCAAATTGATTGTAAACAATCGAGAACTGACTTCCAACACCGACTTGCCCATCCACACACACACACACGAGCAGACAAACCACATCAAATGAGCCCCACAAATCAAAACGAAGAGCGCTGGAGACGCTGATCCTCGATGCGCGATCCCTGCTAACAGCTGCATAGGAAATAATCGTCTTAGGTGGACTATCGATAGTGAAAGATGTAAGCGCATTTAAAACATTAAGTGTAGTCTAGAGAGAGTATTCATTAAGTAAGTTAAGCAGCGGCGTACCTAGTACGCCCGTATACCAAAGCCCGACAGATACTCAGATCCATTCTCCACAAAAGAGGAAAGCAACAACATACACATATGTATATGTTACTACAGCTACCATACATACATGTATGTATGTGGAATGTAGAATGTAGAATGTAAGAAGAGTGCATAGCAAGTGGAAGGAAGTGCGAAGAATCAGGGTATGTAGAGCACATTACTAGAAGTAATCTGCAGACGACGACGCAGCTGAAGTACCATGTGGCTAAGCATACAATATATCTACATATGTGTAATAATCTAGAAGTAGAGTTTTGAAGCACGGACCGAAAGCCTCGAGCCAGCCAAAGCCCTCGATGCCCTCTCGAATGTGCCCCATGGACCAGCGAGTAATGAACAGCGGGTTGGCCTTCGTTTCGAGACTGCTCCAAACTGCTTGGAGCCATGCCCCTTGCTCTCAATCAGAGTCAGGATCAGTGAGTGTGTGGCGCATTCGAATGGGCATCGTCCACGTCAGTGTCCGTTGGCCGGTGTCGAGGCACACTTTTGGGAATTTGGGTCCCTGTTTTCAATGGCCGTCCTCTCAACTGTTTCCATGTGACAAATAATTGTTGAATGCATGCATAATATTTGGCGAACTGCAAATACTTTATACAAAATTCCATATATGATATGAATGAATATTTTGTGTAGCATCTAAGCTCGGATTATGTGTACCTCGCTCGGCATTGGGCACCAAGCGTTTGCCAAACAGCTCACCAAACTACCAACTAGAAACAACTACAAATTTCAGCTCAAAGGTTTTTTATACTTTTCAAACAAGCAAAAAACTTACAAAATATTGTAGCTAACCCCGAGTGTGTGTGTTGGTGTGAGTGATGGTGGTGTTTTTTTTCCCCTAAACCTAAGACTTAGTGTACTTAAGCATAGACTAGGGATAATAATAATACGATGGATGGAAACTGTTCAACATTCAGAGGCAATGCAACAATGCTCCTAAGTTGGGTTCTTCCAAAGAAAACGCTTATTAATTATAGCTAATTGGTAAATGTGCAAAAAACACACACACACACAGACAGAAACACAGAATACAAAAAAAAAAAAAAAAAAAAAAAAAAAAAAAAAAAAAAAAAAAAAAAAAAAAAAAAAAAAAAAAAAAAAAAAAAAAAAAAAAAAAAAAAAAAAAAAAAAAAAAAAAAAAAAAAAAAAAAAAAAAAAAAAAAAAAAAAAAAAAAAATAACACACACACAGACAGACACAGAGCAACACCTACACGTACACAAATTGTTGATTTATGGAAATTTGTATGGCCTGAGTTCAGGCTATCAGCGGCGATGAACTTGTTACGAATAGCTGTTGGATTTGTTTGTTTAAATGAAATTTGAGCATTGATACTTGGAGGATACCCCTTTAAGGATAGTAAAAATACAACTAAGGCCCCCCCCCCCCTGCCCCCTGGCCCCTGCATGTATAAAACTCAACAGAATTAAGAGACGGCAAGTGCAAGCATCACTGAGCAAAACTATTTGAAAGCAATGGTCAAATTTGATTGTATTTTTTTTCTAGAACAATTACGATGATTATGCATTGAATGGAACGTAGGCTAAGCGGAATGCAGAAGGGGGAGTAACTACCATTAGCCAGTAAATAATAATAGCAATAATAACACACACAAAACTTAACAACAATAAATGTATTATTGATAATAGTTGCAGATTGCAGTGGCAGTGGCAGGAAAGTGTTTGCATGAAATAATAATGAAGAATACAAATAAAAACTGAAAATATTTCAAAGCAAAAACGTTGCAAAAGAGTTTTCAATTGTGGTGCGGGGTGCGGGGTGCGGGTAAGTACAAAGGATCCATATATCAACATTTTATTGCATTTATATGAGCTGATAATAAAATTCCAATAAGCATGAAAAGAAATAAAAATACTTACACAAGACAAACAAGAACGAACAATGGACTTGGGAGGCTGGAGGCTGCCTCTGGGTGCCTTGTAGTCTGCGCCAGTGACTGGAAATCAATTCGATATTCTGGACCCCAAGCCGAAACTAAAAGCGTCTAAATAGATAAATGCACGGCCATATATAGGTAGGGGTAGGGATAGGGCTCCTAGGAGTGCGAGTAGTAGCACAAGATGCCATCAACTGGCCCCCGCCCCCCCCACCCAGTACATCGTCAACGTCTAATGGGCACTCAGTCAGAGAGAGAGAGAGAGAGAGAGAGAGTCGGAGAGGGAAACCGATTCGGAGACAGAAACTGAGAAGACTGAGAACGAGAACGTATGAACTTAAGTGTGTGTCTCTCTCCGACAGTGCTTGTCTGCTGTATATGAAGTGGTCGCATGCACTGCGAGAAAGTCCACGCAGCACCCGAGAGCACTCGCGTTGTGCTGCTCCTTTCTACAGATGTTTGTGCATCTGAAATTTCTCTCTGTGTTCTCGCTGGTGAATGGCAGTTTCTGTTTTTGTGTATATTACCGTCGTCCACCCGGGCGTCATCATCTCTATGTGCGTTCTGGATCTGTGCGCTGTGTGCTGTGCGCTGTGTCTTGGCCCTGGCCATAAATACAAATGTAAAAAGGGCAAGCAGAGCCGACCTCTGGCCCGCGACTCCGTTCTGGAATTCCTTCCTTGCATGGGCCTTCTGTGGTCCGTCCTACTTTGGGGGCTTTTGGGGGTAGCGTGCCAGAGCCAGAGCCAGAGCCAGAGCCAATGCCATGTCGAGGGTGAGACTTGTGTGCTCCATGTCCATAACTAATTCGTACTAAATGATGTACTAAAGTGTTGAGAAACAAGGACCTGCATGTGGAATAGATACCAGGCTGGCAGAGAATGTGTCTAAGGGGGGAATGGGGCTAAGGAATGTTTTGTGCCTGAAGGCGATATCTCATCGTTACACTCACTGGGTGGCGATAATTGACAGACCATTAACGTTTGGATTGCAAAAGCTAAAGTACAACTACACAGACACTCGACCAGACACACTCATTCGAGGGTGTTGGCAGTCTCTCATTAAAGGCATATGCCAGTGTCCATGTCGATGTGCGTGACCAGAAAACTTTGTGATTTACGTTTTGCCAGAGAATTCAACAGCTTACTCATAATAATACCATAAGAAATATAACTAGGCTGAAAAAGTGTCCTCAAATTAATAACCCAAAAAAGGTTTCTGCTTTGTCCTACCTTTTGGGCAATAATATTATGCCATGACGTTGACCTTAGCCGGAAGAGAAACGGCAGGCGCTTTTCGAGCAAAAGCGAAATTGCAACGGCACAAACAACGGAATTAATTCTTGGTGAGGCATAACAGAAGAGAGAGAGAGAGAGAGAGAGTCAGATCACTACATAAGACTTCAACCACCATGCAAAGAGAGCGTCGGCACGCTGCACTCGCTCATTGCTTTTAGCATTTCTCCTGCTCTGCTTCTTCGCTTTGCTTATTGGAGAGGGAACGAAAAAATAAGTTTATGCATTTCTACACTTTCTACACTTCACTTACGCTTATTTCCTCATTTTGCCTTTGCAGCTCTGCCTTTGTTTTGCCCTTGTGATCGGGAACTTTTTCTTGCAATAATACACATTTAGTTGACTTATTCACTCACTTTATCACAACACTGCACCACTCCTCGGCAATCATTTCTGGAAGAATTTTTCATTCTCTTACCGAAACGCGAAGCTGATGTGAGTGAGAGTGTGAGAGCGACACAGATTTGAGTAGGCGTAGGCGGCTCTCTTTCAGAAGCACTTCCTTGCTCTTTCTAGCTCTCCTCTTCTAGCTCAAGAGAGCGAACGTTTGACGAGCGACCACTTGTTAATGCAACGGTGAATGATGAGAAGGGGAAAGTGCTGTGCACATTGGTTGGCTTGTGTTGGGAGGGGGGAGAAGAAGCAGCGCAATGACGAATGCTCTTCTTATGTGTGACGAAAGGAAAAGCAAGGGACAACAGCAAAGAGAAGGAAGTGCAAGCAGCTTAGATATTTTGCTGCGCGGCTGCCTGCTCTGATTTCTTATCTTGTAATCTTATGAGCAAGGCCGTAAACTCTTCGAGTACCGGGTTTAAAAAGCCCCACAATCTCTATTCAGCAGACACCCTCGTTACAGTAAAGGTCTTCTTAAATAAACAATAAAATAAACGTAGCTGATCTGCTTAAAATTTAAATCTGAATTCCAGTTGGCCCTTATTTTTGTTGGAAAAATATTTAACATACTTTTGGCCTTGACTGTTGCTACGACAGCTCGGAGCCTGGCCAGCCAAGCATCTAACTATCCCGTGCCCCGTAGCCCATGCCACTACCCTGCCCCACCGCCACATGGCTGAACTCCGGCACGGTTCAGCTTGTGACCCGGAATGGAATTCTGGCAACCGGAAACTCAACGGTGCAAAGTCCAAATCGAAAAATATGCACACACGACCAGAAATAGTTTAAATATAAGGAAGGCCAAATATTAATATGTAGCATGAAGCCATGTGGCTGGTGGGTGGGGGCATGAATAGTCCTCTGGCTATGATGGGGTTAGTGCAATCAAGCATACCTTCCTGCTCTGTGGATTACTGGGGCCCGGCGTCGTTTCAACTTCACGCTCAACGACTTTCCAGCCTGCCAGAAGACAGTTCGGGGGACCCCTTGAGAGAGGGTTGGTCAAAACCATTGACTAGTCGACTCTTTTCTTACCCACTGACATGTGCGGGGGTTGGGGCCACACTCAATATAATTTGACTGCTATCCGATTATCTTGCTGGTCGGCTGCTGCCAGGATCGATTCCAGTAGCGTCCCCAAAAGGGTCTCTCTCAATTAACCCAACGGTCGCCATTGTTTTTCTGCTCGATTGAAGTTCTCCACTTTTCAGCGTTTTTCACTATCGACAGACAGTCCCACTGACTTTAACCGTTGACTGAGCACCGAATTTGGAATAGTGTCTGAAGTGTTTGACATTTATGCCATGCCTTGACACCATTTTCCATATCTAATTGACTGACGAACTACATGATAATTAACACTCGAACTTAATCAGCATCGAAATGTCATACAATGCCTCGACTGGAAGATTTATGTATCAATCAGCTAGCACTCCGACTGCAGCTGCACTAAAGAAGAGGCAGGGCAGCATTTTGTACGCTCTCTCTTTTTGTGCATAGAAAGAGATCTCAGGCAGCGCAGTCGGCGCAAGCACAGCGTACAAATTTCATGCAGCTTCGGCCAATGCACAGTGAACCGACGCAGCGGCAGAGAAACAACTTCGTTCGCGGTCGCCTCTGCTCGACTGCCGCAGCGGCAGAGAAGCAAGAAACGTTTTCTGACTTTGTGTCTTCGTTGTTGTCTGCGCATGCAAAAGCACCGTTAGCCTGCATGTAATTGTCTACCTGACGATCCCTGATTTACGGCTGGACCTCATTTAAAGCTGGACCAAAAAAACCAGAAAGCAAAGCTGCCAAAGAAAGCTTTCTCTCTCTTGCGTTCTGTTCCGCAGCTCTCTGAGAGTTGAATGCATAGTGAAGATCCGTTACGCTAAGCAAGAAACGTTTTCTGGCTTTGTGTCTTCGTTGTTGTTTGTGCATGCAAAAACACTATTAAAAAAGCACTCAGAGTACCTAAGTCCCATAAATTGGAGTCGAATTATCTACTGATCAGCAGACATTGACTCAAAGTAAAATCTAGTATTCGCTCAGTAGCCAAATCAGTGCTGTCCACAGAAAGCAAATTGAACGCAATACCACAGCGGAATTACCAGCAGCGCCGATATCAATACCGACACCACCACTGACACCAGCACCACCGAAACCACCACTTGCACCACTCCATAAACTCTCACAGA